CAGAGCCTGATCTCGGGAGGGGCACTTGTCCATTATTTAAAGAAATAATCCAGACACAATAACCACTACAGCTTAGTGTAGTAGTTATGGTGCCAGTAGTGCCAGGATCCCATCCCAGAGTAAGTAGTCAAACCGTTTAAGAACAGTTTGACAACTTACCTGGGGTCTGCTGGGATGTAGGGCATAGGAGCAGTGGTATGTGTTAGGGGTGACGTGTGTATTAAAGGTGCAGTGTGTGTGAGCGGTGAAGTGTGTGCGTGAGGGCGGCAGTGTATGTCAGGGTTGCAGTGTGTGTGTTAGGGGGCAGTGTATGTGTGGGGAAGTGTGTGTGAGCGGTGCAGTGTGTATGTGAGGGGGCAGTGTGTGTGAGAGTTGCAGTCTATGTGTGTGTGGGGCAATATGAGTATGGGGCAATGTGTGTGTATGGAGCATTGTGTGTATGGGGCAATGTGTGTATGGGGGGCACTGTATGTATGTGTGGGGCAATGTGTGTATGGGGGACAGTGTGTGTATGGGGGACAGTGTGTGTATGGGGGCAATGTGTGTGTATTGGGGCAATGTGTGTGTATGGGGCAATGTGTGTATGGGGGAAGTGTGTGTATGGGGGCAGTGTGTGTATGGGGCAATGTGTGTATAGGGGCAGTGTCTGTATGGGGGGCAATGTGTGTGTGTGGGGAAAATGTGTCTACGGGTGTGCGGTGTTTGTATGGGGGGGAAGGAGGGTAGGGAGGCTTTTTAATATTTTTTTAAATTTTTATTTAATAAAATTAATATAATTATGTCCCCCCTCCCTTCTTACCTTTATTGAGGAGGAGGGGGGACATTTCTCCATCCCTGGTGGTCCGGTGGGGATTCCCTGGTGGTCCCAGTGGTGGTGAGGTGAACTCTAGCCCTTTGCTCCAGGGCTAGAGTTCACTCTCGCGAGATTTGGAGCGTTGCCGCGGCAACGCTCCGTGCTCGCGAGAGTATGACCCGGAGGAGCTGCAGGCAAGAGCTCCTGGGTCCTCTCTCACTCCCTCCCCTGCCGGCTGTCAGCACGGTGCCTGCGGACCGGGGAGGGAGAGCTAAGATCTCCCTCCCCGGTCTGCAGGCACATTGCAGGGCTGGCACTTGGACAATGCCAGCCCTGCTTTAGCCGGCAGGGGAGAATCTCGGGGGGGGGCAATTGTCCCGTTGCCCCCCCCCTGGATCCGCCAGTGTCGTGAACATGACAGTCTATTTGTGTGCATCAGTGAGCTTGTGTTTTTATGTCAATGAGCTTATGTATATCAATGAGATTGTTTGTGAGCGTGTGTCAGTAAGATTGTCTGTGTCTGCATGTAAGTATGCTTTACTGTATAACTGAATTACCCAGAAAGTCCAGAGAATTGAATCTGCAAGTCCTATATTTTACTCTGTAACCGTAGAACCCCATAAATCCTGTACATGGGGGTACTGTTTTACTTGTGAGACATAGCTGAACACAAATATGAGAGCAGTAAAATGTATGATGAGTGAAAGGGCAAATGGTATCCTATAATGTGGTTAATGTTATTCTACGATAACCCATGCAGTCCCCCTGCACACAATGATGTAATTGGCTGATCCAAGTCATGTGATCGCAGTGTCATTGCGATCGCATGACACAGATGGGCAGGATTTGCTGCAGAAGGACTGCCTCAGTTGTCAGGCAGTCCCTCCAATCAGGATCGCCGTGGAGAGTAAGTATTTGGGCTGCCGGTAGGGCACGATCGTTTGGATGTGCCATGCTGCCCAGCAGCGTTAATACCTTCCTTTTGTAAGATGTCCTAGCATGCCCTAACCTCATTAAGATGTTCTACAAAAATAAAAAAAAATTATCAAGTTATCAGAGTTACCACTACTGTTAACCACACACACAACAACAAAAAAATCTACAAAAATTACTTATATAGTTTTTTTTTAGGTGTTAAATATCCTTGTGCAGGGTGGAAAACATTTTTTTTGCCAGGAAAAAAGTAT